CACATGTCTGATGTCAGATAAAATATTTCCTATGCCACATACAATTATAGTTCAATTAAACAAATTAGCTGATAATATGACAGTATTGATGCTCCACATATCTGTTTAATACCAGGCGGTTAAAAATTAAACCCATTTGTCTCAGACTCAGGTCATGTACAAAACTTTTGCTGGTACTAATTAGAATGTAATTAGAATTAGTGCCCACGTGCCTGGTCCCCAAAATCTAATTTTTGGTCTGAGTCGAGAAAATAGAGCAAAGTCCAATGTGAAGGAATGTTTCGCAGCGCAAAGTACGGCGGAGTGCATTCTCTTCAGCAGCTACAGTTATCGTGAAGACCTGTCGCGAATTTTGAAACGAATGACAAACTAGGTTTTGATGAAGCTGTTTCTAGCAAATCACCCATTAAACGGATTTGACTCTGATTCCGTAAACAATCTGTCACTTGAATCAGATTTTACTGATAAGGGAACCGGAAATCTGGCTCGCTATGGTGGTGGACCTTGAAAAATACCTTTCAGTGCTAAACGTCAGACACAGTTTGCCATGTAGAATGAACGAACATTAAACAGACCTGGACAACTATGTCACTGGCTGCAAAAGAAATGAACTGTATGGAAATAGAGGTAGTTGTAATACAAGAGAAACAACGGTTTAGAACAAGCGTTGGAACCACTGAAAATTGTAGTTTCAATTTCACAGGAAATATAGCAGAACGCGCAGCTTTCAAAGGTGGTGTTGTACTGGCAATCAGTAAAAACGTAGAAGGAGCCATCGTACACTGCAGTGCGGAATCTGATGGGATAATCACGGGCAGGTTGAAGTCCAGGTACAAAGGACTTAATCTCAAAATATTTGTTTGCTGCGGCACAGGCAATAAAAGAATAATCCTGTTACGCTGAGTCTGTGCGACACCAGTGCTGACAACTTGACTTTTATCCAGATGATTTCCCTGCGAAACCAGTAACAATAAATGATCTGTATACACGCGTGGGATCACGCGGTATTGACCAGATGAATGATAAAGGTGGACAGAAAACAGAAACGCGTCAGATGCACGTAAAATCTAGTTATTGCTAGCACGAGGTTAAGTCAGTGCATAAGAACACATGACATTCCAACGATACCTCAAATCGAAATCAGATTTATCATGTTCTCATCATCAGAAATCATTCAGCATATCTAGAATTTGTTAGGATGAACAAAAGTGCTGAAAGGGGCAGCGAGCATGAGTTGACAATGGCTAAATTTAAAGTAAGGCTACGATCCTTGATTAGCGGCCAGATCTCCAACGGAAAGCTTTAAGCCCACAATTTAAAACGTCCACAAGCATCTGAAGCATATCAGGTCACGAGCAGTGGAAGATTCAGTCATCTTACTGATTATGCATCTATTATGAAAGAGGAATGAAACGTCACGTCCTGTTGTACAGAAATCTTTGAGATGTAAGGAAAACACTTTGAATTGCCGGACAGATGCTGATACTAGATCTCATACCCTTGAAGAAGTGAAGACCCATACCAACTAAAATGGTAGAGTAACATAAATATATGGAATACAAACAGAGCTAATTAAGTTACATGATAAAACTGGAACGTTCGCATTAGTGAATCTCACTTAATGGGAATGGCAGAAAAAAGGCTTCCAGAATTACTGGAGGAACGATATTGCGGTTATCGTAAAAAGCTATTGCGTGGATCCTACCATCTACCATAGAATAAGTCAACTATTCGTTCATCCCTAAGTGTTCATCCCTGAATAGGAAATGCTAAGATGTTGAAGACAAGTCTGGATTTAGGAGAAGTAGAGGATGATTGGAAAAGATATTCACAATGAGACAGCCAATGGAAAAGAAGAGATAGTAGGAAACCAACTTATTTGCGATATTTGCGATTTCATACAAGCTTTTGATTCAATCTGGAAAGCTGCCGCGTGGAAAGTTTGTGAATATGGAATTCCATCAAAGACTATTCGTGTTATTGAAAAGATGTATGATCTTACGTAGTCTTGCAGTTACGAATCATATCGTATTGTTTACAGACAATTTCGAAGCTAAAACATTTTAGTTCAAGCAACCGAAGGTAAGGCTGCCAGTTTCCAGGTACCTTTGGGATTTGGCCGCTTGGACACAAATCATGAATTCGGAATGATCTCAAAGATTAAGTCCAGAAATGACGTGGAAAGACTCGTTACTCAAACTTTAGAGCGATTGATGGGAGATTGTGAGGGTCTCATAACTGCTGCGGGGTAAATTCTTTTAAAACACCTTCAGCCGATTTGTTTGCGTTCAGGTCATTCGCCTGAGCCACTCTCTGGCCGTGATATCCACTGTATCCGTCAGCTTTTCAATATTTTCGCAATAAAGCACCGACCACTGCATCTTAAAAGAAAATATTCTTCACTCGAAGCAGATCTGCCTCTACCTTACTCTTCTATGTTGCATGCGTGCCTCCTGGTTTATGTCTGCGTATTTTGGCTCCAATGAGAAATCCATGGGATGGAACAAATGCTTTATACTCGAATAGTTTATTAGCAGATGCATTTGCAGAATAATAAATTGAAAAACTGTACTCTTAAGACGAGGAGAACATGCATTATTCAGAATACGAGAATGAAAACTAACGATAAGAGGCATGAGACAGGATCAGTGAGGCCGTTTCATGACATGAAATGGTCATATAAGAAAAAATCAGTAAATTAGAGACTGAACTCAATAAACCTTTTTCAGTCTGTATTAACAGAGCAAAATATAAGCCTATACGCCTATGTAATATACTGCTCATAGCGAACCAGAAACAGTGATATCGACTGAACAAACGAGGAACGACCAACAATAGAAATTTGCAAAATTATTGGGTCGGAATTTTTTTATATCATCATTATCTTTCTATTGATGTGTAGTTCTTTCAGACATCCACATTAATTTATGATTATTTAAGTAGAAAATGATCTATCCTCCCAGCTTCAAATAGCTATCATTAGATATAAGTCAATAATTAACCATTAAACGCAAATTACGTACGTTAATTTCAGAGGGAGAAATACAACTTCTATTGTTTTCTTGCGCATGCACAGCACACAGTCCATCGTATGCAATGATTCCGCCAATCGAATCCGCAATGATGTTCACCTAAAAACTGAAATTAACTAGTAAGTTTGAACCTGGCATAGCTACGGCATAAACTCAACAGAAGATGAACGTATGCAATGAAACCATTTGCTTCTCCAATGATTGGTGGTGTCGCTATGTCAGCTCTGCACATTACGATTTCATTGCTTTACAATCAATTTAAATTATGCACGATCAAAAGCGTAATAGGGCGAAGACATCGGTCATCAAGTATGAACACCAACCTACCTTCGCTTACGGTTATGTGTGCTAGTACACTGACCAAATGAGTACAACACGATCACGACCACAAACGACAAATGAGGTTTCTTCAGGAAAATACGCGTGTAACAAGGCTCGTCACAGCTCTGAACATAATAGGTCAAGAAACTACCCATCAGATCGGAACTATCATTCGTAAGATCCAAAGAATACAAGTGCGGTGGTCTGGCATGTCCGGATGCCAGAACTGAAAGACTAACTAGACGATTTCTTAGGAAAGACACATAAAAGACGATCAAGTAGTCGATCGAGATGATCAGCTGAATCATGTATATAGAGACCGCAGCTCTATACGCATAGAAATTCGGTCCACAGAGAGTGAGTAACTGCAGGGGGATAATTACTACTGAAAAAACTCCGCCATGGCCGGTCCCAAGCCCGGATGAGAAAGGAAGAAGGTTGGAGACCGTGGCAAGTCTCCGCAAAATTCAGCCACCTGCCACTCATGGTATTGACGCCTTCGAAAA